CCACGGGGCACCCGCCACAAGAGCGCGTCACTCTCTGTCCGCGGCGCGGCCTGCGGGGCTGCTGCTGTGAAATTATTTCTGGCAGCCATTGAAACCGTAACTTAAGTGACCAAGCGGGAAACCTCGGTGACATCGTGTGAGAGGGGCTGGGGGGGTCTGGAACCTAGACACAGCGGGGAGTCCTGTGGCCTTGGAGACCAAGAGAGAGAGATTGACGTAGTACCGGAGCGTTCCTGGGCAAACCCGCTTCCTCCAGTGGGGAGCGATTGAACGTCGCTTATTCACTAAGGAAAGCTGCAGTCTCGTTGCTTGATGGAAACATTCAAACAGGTTGGTTTGCAATTCAATAGACTCCTCAGGCCGCTTCTGGCTACCTGGCAGGGTCCCCGTCACCACGCGTGTGTATTTAAGCAGTAGCAGCGCTTAATATTGTTTCTTATTAAGTGTCCGTTTTAGCAGGTGGCAAATGCTCTATTGCTTGTTGGCTAGACAGCTAACTTTGTGCTCAGGATTTGTTAGGATAAATCTATTTTCATTAAGCATCACCAGCCCTCAGTCCAGTACCTGCCCTGTTGCGCCATATTTATAAAACTGGACGTCAAAAGTTAGATCCCCCCTCCCCAGTTTTGTCTTTGTATAAGCAAAAGTTGTTCAACTCCAAGTTAACTCAAATATAGTCGTGGATTCTGCATATTTATTTGAACTGTTACGAGATTATAAGAGGTTGGGGCCCTGAGATACTTTGTGTTGAATCCCGGTTTCATTTCACAGGTTTTTTTAAAAGAGGAAGTCTCTGGGTGATTGATCATTTTACAAGAATTATTCCTTGTCACGTAAATGACAAAATCAACCCGGGTTTAAATGGAAACAAATCTTGATTTCAGAGCCGCCCCCGGTGTCTCCCGGGACGGCCTTTCTGCCCACCGTCCCAGCCAGCGGGATGCTGATCGGAGGCAGCTGCACCTGTTGCTGTCCTCCCCACCGCTGCTGCGGAGCTGTGCTGCCCAGCCCCTGGCAATGCTTCTGGCAGCATAGCGCCTGCCCTCCTCTTACTCCGGGGCCGTCCGGGTCCGCCCAGTGCAGCTCCCGAGCCCTGCCCAGGCGACAGTGACTGCCAGCAGGCCTGCCCACCTGGGACCTTTAAATCACTGTCCGAGTGCCACGCGGTGCATTCCAGGCAGCATTAAGACGGGGGAGCTGCTGTGGTGCATTCGCTGCCTCACCACTTTCTGGGAGTATGCCCCCCCCCCACCTTGCTTAGGGGCCCGGTGTGGCTCTCGGCTGCCCTGTCGGACAGTCCTTTTGTGCCACCAGGGCTGCACACGGAGCAGGCCCAGCCTCTCTGGGCGTGCCTGCACCTCGTTTAAAAACCCGCAGCTGGTCCGTGCTGGCTCGGGCTCGCAGGGCGCAGGCCAGGGGCCCTTGGATTGCAGTGGGGATGGTCCAGCCAAGGCTCGAACGCCTGCACCGCGGTTAATCAGCCCTTAGCCCCAATCAGCTGGCGCAGGCCGCAGGGGTCCAATTGCAGGGTAAACACGAGGCTCTTTTCCATCACCCCTGGAGTGGAACAGAAGAGCAGCCAGGCTGGGTCAGTCCAAAGGTCCATCTAGCCCAGCGACAGTGCCAATGCCAGCTGCCCCGGGGGAGGGGGGAACAGAACAGGGAATCATCACGTGACCCCTCCCCTGTCGCCCATTTCCAGCCTCTGACACACAGAGGCCAGGAACACCATTCCCACCCATACTGGCTAATACCCATTGATGGACTGAACCTCCATGGATGTATCTAGCTTTTTTTTTTGAACCCTGTTAAAGTCCTGGTCTTCACAACACCATCTGGCAAGGAGTTCCACAGGTTGACTATGCGCTGCGTGACGAAATGCTGCCTTTGGTTTGTTTTAAACCTGCTACCTGTTAATTTCATTGGGTGACCCCTAGTCCTTGTATTCTGGGAGTGTGTTACTCCCAGCAGTGTATGTGCGAAAGAAAAGGGGTGGGAATGGTTGTAGGTCTTTAGAAGATGTCCCAGAAAAGAGATCCTGTGAATGGCTGGTCTGAGATGACCACATGGAAAGCAGGAGTTATGGCCCACGTCGGAGAGTCACTATTACCAACCCCAAAAGTGCAGAAGTCCTGAGCCCTGCCCCAAAGATCATGGAGATTTTTTTTAAATGCATTTGGATTGTTCTTATTTGGGTCTGTAAGTCACATCTGGTCAAATCCTCTGCAGACGTGAGGGCCAGAAAGGGACTTTTTGGTGAAAGGCGGGATTCGCCTGGTGGGGTGGTCATGGCGCAACTATCAGTACCTCGGGGCTGGCTTATGGTTTAACAGCTGACTTCTCAGTGCTCTAAAATCCACCTTTAACCCGATTTTTCTTGCACGTTGTTCTGCTTCACGGGGCCCCGGGCTCGTGGGAGGGATCCAGTGTGATGTCCTTCGAGAATGACCCTGCGGGGGGCTCCT